TTCGAGGCCGACCGATAGTCATGCTCCATGGACTCTCCGAACTCCTCCCAGTCCCAGGTTTTTGCCTCTGCAACAGCCCGGGCCGCGGCACGTTTGGCCTGCCGGTACTGGACAGCTGCCTCAGGAGTCCCACGAACCATCATTGCTCGATAGGACTCCTTCTTCAGCCTGACGGCATCCCTTACTGCCGGTGTCCACCACCGGGTTCGGGGATTGCCGCCGGGACCAGCACCAGAGACCTTGCGACCACAGCTACGAGCCGCCGCAGTGGCGATAGAGGAAGAGAACATGGTCCACTCGGACTCGATGTCCCCCTCCTCCGCCGGGACCTGGGAGAAGCTCTCCCGGAGGTGTGAGTTGAAAGTCCGTCTGACAGGGGGCTCCGCGAGACGTTCCCAGCAGACCCTCACTACACGCTTGGGTCTGCCAGGTCTGACCGGCTTCTTCCCCTGCCAGCGGATCCAACTCACGACCAGGTGATGATCGGTTGACAGCTCCGCCCCTCTCTTCACCCGAGTGTCCGAGACACGCGGTCGAAGGTCAGATGATACGACAACAAAGTCGATCATCGACCTCCGGCCTAGGGTGTCCTGGTGCCACGTGCACTAGTGGACACCCTTGTGCTCGAACATGGTGTTCGTGATGGACAGGCCGTGACTGGCACAGAAGTCCAACAACTGAACACCGCTCGGGTTCAGATCAGGGGGGCCGCTCTTCCCGATCACCCCTCTCCAAGTGTCACTGGCATTTCCCACATGGGCGTTGAAGTCCCCCAGGAGAATAACGGAGTCCCCGGGCGGTGCACTGTCCAGTACCCCTCCCAAGGACTCCAAGAAGGCCGGGTACTCTGCACTACCGTTAGGCCCGTAGGCCGTCACAACAGTGAGAGACTTGTCCCCCACCCGGAGGCGGAGGGACGCGACCCTCTCATTCACCGGGGAGAACTCCAACACGTGGCGGCTGAGATGGGGGGCAATGAGTATGGCCACCCCAGCACGCCGCCTCTCCCCGCGGGAAACACCAGAAAAGTGGAGCGTCCAACCCCTCTCAAGGAGTTGGGTTCCAGAGCCCAAGCTGTGTGTGGAGGTGAGGCCGACTATCTCTAGTCGGTATCGCTCAACCTCCCCCACAAGCTCGGGCTCCTTCCCCCCCAGTGAGGTGACGTTCCACGTCCCAACAGCCAGATGTTGGGTGTGTGGACTGGGTCGTCGAGGTCTCCGCCTTCGACCGCTGCCCAGTCCTCGCTGCACCTCGCCACCACGGACCCCTCTGCAGGTGGTGAGCCCACAGGAGGGACTGCCCACGTCATCCCTTCGGGCTGAGCCCGGCCGGGCCCCGTGGGCTAAGGCCCGGCCACCAGGCGCTCGCTTGCGAGCCCCGACCCCAGGCCTGGCTCCAGGGTGGGGCCCCGGCTGCGCCATGCCGGGCGACGTCACGGTTTTTGTTGTTGTGCATGTTGTCTAGATGTAAATAGTGATATTAAAGTGTTTAAAAGCATGCGTAGTGTATATGTGCATGATAAGAGTGGAGGTGTGGAGTGTTTATTCTTGCAGCTGCGATGGGGGTTGAAGTTCCTGAATGGGACTCTGATTGGATTGATCCAGAGCTCTTGTTTACAAGCGGCCTCTTCACAATCGGCACAGTTTAATAGCTCACTATCCCAGAAGGCTTGTTGCATCCGTGTACGGTTTGTACCTCAGGGCAGGGGGAATCAAAAAGTGCCGGGAATAGAGAAAGCCGAGAAGCATCCTCATGGGTGTAGTGAACCGCCACCGGAGCCACTGGAGTCTCCGGGCTTCCTGCCAGGATAACGTTTAACCTGACCAATGATGCTCCTTTTATAGGAAATCACAACAACATGACATGTCGAGTACTACAGTCTTTACGGACCAGAGGCGTTTTGAGTTTCACTGAGTCGACATGAAATTCAAACTGAGTGAGTGAATGAGAATGACAAATGCTGGCTTTCATTACTTTTATTGGGAAAAAGAAAATCACAAATGAATCTTAATACTTCCCAAGAGTAATAGGGGTTCTATTGTAATTTTAGAGCCTCCTCAAGTAAATTTGGTTTGAGATCTCGGGACACAGTCCTCATCGCAAACTCCCTCAATAGGATGCAGCTCACACAGTTCCTCAATAAATCCCTGGCTGACACAAAAGCTGCCAGTGGACTGCTGCTGAATAGATTAATAAGATTTCCATAATTAGACAGGCCCTTGACAATAGGATCCTTCAGGCTTTGTCTCAGGGCCAACTGGGTTGTCCGTGGAGTGCACACGTCTGCTGCCCGGCCGCGGACCACAATGGCGGTGCAGACAGTAAGGCGGTCAACACACGAACATCTGTCTCTCCTGGGGTTTGGACTTTTCTCCCACAGCGAGTCAAAAGCCCAGATATACATGGATCTTATCAGTCAACACAACCACCTGCAAACAAATGAATGCATTCATTCTAAATCGGTTTAGCTTCCCTGTTTGGAAAGTCTTGTTTTGTAGCAGACAAAACATGGAAATATTTTAGCAGTTCAATTCAAAATTGATGTATTACATTTTAATGTATTTTAGTAAACTTTTTTTTAAAAATCTAATCATCATTGTATTTTCTTTGTTTCATTATGCATCTACTTTTTTACATAATTAATTTATTCAGACATTGAAAAAATGTATAATCATTATGCCAATGCACATTGAAAGTATGATGCAAATCAATAAATATATATGTTCTGCTTTGCAGAAACATTCTACACACAAACCAACCATTTCTGCATAATGATTCGTTGTTGCATATACGATTAATTTATTCAGTGTACTTAATAGTTTTTCAGCTTGAATCTATAAGAAAACGAAAAGTATCTGCTGTGTTCTAGTAGCCTGAGCTTGACCACGTTGTCCTGATTTCCTACGTCTAATCTTAGCTTTCTTCCTGGCCCACAGTGAATTAATCTTGATGATTCTCTGATTTAAGCACAACTCTAGAATAGGGCTTTTGCTCAGTTTCTTGTGGAGGCCGGGTGCAGCAGCAGAAGGCAGGCTCTAATTGCCACCCTGCTGTGTCCAACGTGCCTGAGTGATGTCCTGCCACTAGCCCGCCATAGTTAGCAAACTTATGAGACAGAGAGAGAGACGCAGAAAAAACTCCAATGAAAATATCTCCTGCTTATTTTTTAAGCAAGAGTATTTTCGGACATTTACTTTCTATCTTTTATGACCTTACATGACTCTGTGCTCGTGCCTCATGTATGCTAGTCCCAACTTGATTTACAAAGACAACTATCTACTGTAGCGAGTGTGGTAACTCTTGTGATGACGCTTAAAAGACACAATGGAATGCTTTGTGCAAGTCCTTATTCACTTTTTAAAAGAAGCACTTGGAAGGAACTAATTTACCTACATTTAACCATGCAAGCATTGACAGTGGGATGTTTCTTTAAGTCCAGCTGGTCATTACATTGGTCAAAAGGGATTTGGTGGGGGTGTGTGTTAGGGTCCTATTTTGTACACTCAGTGCTGCTCTGATGATGGAGTAGACAGCCGTTTGCCCGCCTGGCTGAGTCCTCTAATGTCCGCTCCGGCCCACTTGAAGAGGACGAAGCCTGCTGTCCACTCTCGCTCTCCCCCGCCCCTCCCCTCCTTGCTGCAGGTTTTATGAGCTCCCTTGGGCTCTCATCCATCTCTGTCACACACAGGGCCCATTATTGGGGCTGCTCGCTGCTCACAAACTGGTCAGCCCGCAGATGGGAAGGGATTGCGGGACATATTTTCTTTCTTGCAGCTTTTGGACAATGATCTCTGCAAGTCCAGAAAGAAAAGAAAAAAAGTGGTAATTTTCAGGGTGGTTACGGAAGTTGCAATTTCCAGGCTGTCTTGTGGTAAATGGTAGAATGATTCTCACTTGTGCCAGTGTGGCCATTGGAACTTAAGGCAGTGGATTTGAATATGAAGGACATGATAATCCAACGGCCATCTGGTGTGACTGAATCTCATCTGGCTGAATAAATAACAGGCATAATCTGAAAACACACAAGAGAGAAAAGGGATATAAAGAGGCCAAAGTTTTTAGCAGACTCAGAGCTGGTGGATATTGAGATTTGATTTAAATGGCAATAAGGCCTGGCTCCACACATGCACACACATGCACACACACGCACACACATGTGGTTATGAATAATGAATCATGAGCAGTTCACTGAAAGGAAAGCAAGCCAGCGTATGCTTTATTTCTTCTTTACCTTTCTGTTTCTAGCTCAAGTAATGCTCACCTCAGGCTAAATCATGACAGTTCAATAATGCCAAGGTATGTGCGGAATGTTAAGCTAATGCCTCAGCAAGACTAGAGCTGGTCCCATGAAGTTAATAGAAAGTGCAAAGACTTAAATGCAGGATAGCTCTTCACAAAGAAATAAGACAATAAGACAGGCATTGTTAGCTCCTGTGGATCCAAAGAGTGAATCACTAAAACAATGAGTGCCTAGAAGCGAACATTTAACTGACCCTTTATAGGATAAGTAAATGTGTATTAGCTCTGTACATAGCAGCAGTGATTGATCAAAACGAACCAGTGCTGAAGTCAGCCACACAAACACATTCCACTTTCCCAATGTTCCATGGGAGACTGTGCTGATGAATAGCACACTATGCTTCAGGCCCAGACCCAACCCCCTCTTACTCTCCCACTCTCTCCACACCACTGTCCAGCCGGTGCTTGCTCTCTGGAGCTCTGGTGTACGCTGGCCGAGTGGGTGGTAGTTGGGGTGCAGGGCGGAGAGAGAAGGCATTCAGAGCAACATGCAAAAGAGAGATAACAATAGCTCCTCTTGAGGAGATGCAGATGCTAGCAGGACTAGTGTGGGAGTTAATCTCAGCCAAGCATTCACTACAAAACTTATTTTACCTAAATGTTGTCGCCATGTTTGATATTTTATGTTATAATCAAGTTTAACCTTTCCTGTGATGAACAGCCAAACAGATTGTCTAATACTATTGATGTGTTTGTTTCAGGCCTATTGAAGATGCACTGGACTCCAGAGCATGTCCAGTCCCTGAGCCAGTGGCCGGAGCAGCACTTGGACGTGTCATCCACCACCTCGTCACCAGCGCACAAATCAGACCTATTCTCTAGCCGTGGTCGCAGCTCATACAGCTACGCCTGGGCTAACGATGACATCTCCGCCCTTACTGCCTCCAACATGTTGAAACGCTATGCTGAAAAGTACTCTGGAGTGTTGGACTCGCCCTATGAACGGCCTCCTATTGGCGCATACCCAGAGCCGGGAGCTTTCGGACTGAATGGTCAGAAAACTGAACTCGAGCCCTGGCCGCTCACACACAGCACTGATGCCTCATATTCCTTAGTCGCCCCCGGAGGACATGACAGTCTGCCTGGTTCTAAAACCTCTTCTGCAGGGCCCCCAGGGGCCAGCACTGTGCCAATCGTCAACAGTAACTTGTCAGACTCTGGATACAGTGGAAGCAGCTCTTGTAGCGGTTCGAGCGAGTACCCCTCCAGTTACAATGGCACCTATCTCTCGTCAGGATACTGTCCACAGCCCAGCGCAACACTTCCACCCGCCTCGCTCCACACTCTGCAGTCCACACCCACACTAGTGCCCAGCTACAGCCCACCCACACCGGCCTACAACTACACCTCCAGCACATACCCTTCCCAACCAGGTCTAGCTTCCAGCTATAGTCACCCCTCTGCTACTTACCTGCCCTCTGGTCTGCCTGCCCCCACTCCAATCACAACTAGGCCTGCAGTGGTTGGAGGCAGCTACAGCTACACGGGCACCCACCTTGCCTCTGAAGGTCCGTTGAAAAGAAAAGCCTTTGAAATGGGTCTGGAAGAGGATGAGAATGGGGATGGAGCTCGCTTTAGAAAGTACAGCTCACCTTTTGACAAAACAGATTGCAGAGGAAACAGCTTTAACACCTCAGGCAGCACAGACACTTCAAGCTTCAAACCCACTAAACCCTCACAGCCTCTGGTGTCCCCTCAGTATGGGACAGGGGACTACAGCCCCCCGGCTGGGCTCACAGGGGAGAATGGGGCCTCTGAACAGAGCTACACACAGCAGCACCCTCAGTCACACAAACGCTCCTCACTATGTGCCCCCACAGATGCCCTGAAAAGCCTGGACCCTCGGGTGCTGGATCTGGTGAATGGGGAGTTACAGGACTGCTCCCCGGTCTTGGGCTGGAATGACTTGGTGGGACTGACCCATGTGAAGGCTGCTCTGGAGGAGGACCTCCTCTGGCCGGTGCTGAGGCCCAGTCCTTTGGTGAGACCACCTCGAACCGTCCTTTTGTTTGGTCCTCGCGGAGGGGGCAAGACAACACTCACCCGCTCTCTGGCCTCGCAGCTAGGAGCGTCATTCTATCGTCTGAGTGGAGCCATGCTGGCAGCTAAAGGTAAAGCGGAGGCTGAGCACATCTTGGCCGCTTTGCTACAAGTAGTGGCAGCGCGGCAACCTTCTGTTGTACTTTTGAGCCACGTGGAGGCACTAGAAGAGGAGGGACTGAGGCAGATGCTGCTGTCTGTTCTGGAGAAGGCCCAGATGGGCACCAGTGGCCTTGTCATCCTAGTGTGTGCTACTGGGAGGCCAGACCTCTTGCAGGACTCGGTGCACAGGAGTTTTGCCAAGCGTTTCCACGTAGGTCTGCCGGAAGGGAGCATGAGGAGACAGGTGTTGCTGCAGGCACTGGGACCTCATAGCTGTGGGCTGAGTGATAGAGAGATGAGCGTGGTGTTGCAGCGCACAGAGGGTTTTTCTGTGTGGGAGCTGATCCAGCTGAGTCAGCAGGCCCTGTCCTCTGCCTCCCCATCAGGAAACCTCCATGGGATCCCTGCGCCTACCAAGCCCCCTGCCTTCACAGACTTTGAGAATGCCTTCTGTAAGGTGCGCCCACACAGCACCACTAAAGAACTGGACACTTGTTTAGAGTGGAGCAAGATGTACAGCCACTGAGAGCAGCCAAGCTCTGCTTGAACTACCCCTTGACCCAGATATGGAAAGCCTTGGGAATGTGTTGTTTTTGTCATTTCTGATTATGCAGCCAAAAGAACAAGAGATATCATTAAGGAGAGACAAGTTAGTGCTAGCTTGACTTTAACATGCCACGGCGTGCAATTTTCGTTTGCTTTGAAAATATCTGCAATATTTTTTTTCCCAAAGACAAGAAAGACAAATACGTCTGATGTATTGAGTAATGTAATAAAGTTTTCAGGTTTATGGGAAAATCAGAAAGCGATTCACATCCTGATTAGCCTTGGTCCGGGACAAAATCAATTATATGTTGCTAGGTGACGTGGTCCAAGATGATGGATAATCAGGGTTTAGGAAATCCTCCCTTTGACTGTGACTCTCAGGATTGTATTTATTGCCATTTAAACTCTGTGTTATTCTTATATTCAGTCAGGGCTATCACTAATCATACAGCTTGAAGGGCTTCAGCAAATCTGCAGTAGATTACTGTTTTGACCAAAAAACAAATTAAACCAAATATTCTGTTGTTGTACTCCACAAATAAATCCGGTCTCAAATCTGAAATCAAATGTAGAGATTTCCACCAAAATAAATTGAGAAGTGTCTGCCCATCCCAGGAATAACCTCCTCACACTGGAGTACAGTAACATGTACAATATCAAACTGAATGCTCTTTCACCGTGTGCTTCTGTAATACCACATTCCTCATCGCTACAGTGTCCTGACATTCAACAACAGTGCACACCAGTCCCTCAGTCTCTTCTCATGTACCTTTTGTTTTGTAGTATTAGTCTTGTTTGAAATGCTCAGGAAGAATTTCTTTACCTCAGAAATATGAAATAAAGAATGTATGTAATCTTAGGGTCTTAGTAGAGAGCAGCAGCAAGATGAAGAAGCCTGTCTCTTGTCATACCCACTGCAGCTGGGCTTTACCTCGGCAGAGAAACTTGAATATGCTACAAAGAGAAACATTGAATGTAATTCAGGTATTTCAAAGGATATTTGATGCCATAAATCCATGTATTATTATTATATATATAAATACTCTTTTTCTGTTCCATTATCATTTTTATGTCATTGTAGGTTATGGTGGAGTAATGGTTGTCTAAGAAATGTTTAAATCAGAAAAATATTCCTCCTTTTGTTGGACAAACTGCTGTAAATTCCATGTTTACATAGTTGTATATGCATGTCTGTTGTAAATATATAAATCACATAGACTCATGCTAAGGATCTGAGCACAAACGCCATACAAAACACTTCATATGCATTTCATACAAGCATTTAAGGATTCCAAAAGTCTGCACCCACCACATCTAGACAATCCAGAGAAAGGCCTCTTGGACATGTTGGAAAAAGCACCTCACAATACAGTATATGACTGTTGCAATGGGCCGCTCATGCAAACACTGACGTAATATATCCTACTGCCCCTTCCCATCACTCTTTCTCTCCTTTTCTCTCCCCAATGCACTCTCATTAGATTGGATTGCCCTCTGGTCACAAGCCCCAGTGGCCATGTGGCGCTGCTGCGTCCTGCCTGCCCCCACCTCCTGCCTAGACCCACTCTTGGGGAGTGGAAGTGGCCTGATTGATGTCCAGCAACCCTATATCACAGCACAGCTTCCCTCTCCAGCTGGTGGCTTCAGTCATGCCATACAGCCTGATCAATCAGAGGGACCCCTGCTGTGCACACTGATCACTGTCAGAGCAACCCAAAAAACACTCTAGAAATCTATTATTTGCATAAAACCATAAACTTCACAGTTTAAACTGTAATATACCCAGTTTGTCCAACAAACTGTTTATTCTTTACATGTTTTTTTTGTGTTGTTGCAGTTTGGTTATTGTACATTTTCTGTAACCATTTCTACCTCATTTTTGCGACATATTGTACATGAAAGTATTTATTTCATGTCTTTTGGATGTCTCTTTTAAGAAAATATAATAATGTTGTTCAACTGTAATGGTCTACCTCAGAAAAGACTGTATTTTAAGAAAAAGATTATCAACAATATTAAACACAATTTGTCAGTATTGGATTGAGCCTGTTCCTGTGTTTTCTGTATGTTTGAGAGTTGACCCTGGAGTTGACCCCAATGCAACTAATTCAAGTGATTGCTGAATCGTTTCAGGCGTAAACAGTGGAAAACATCAGGAGGTTTGTGGGCTGAGATCAGACGTGTCCAATGTGGAGTCAGCAACATTTCCCCAGTGCTTCTTAAGCAGCTATTTGGAGATTAGAGAATAAAACAATGCTGGATGGGATAAAGTCATCTTGAAATATACTTTGTAAAAGCATACAAACAAAAATCATGTCAAACATTGAAAACAGTAACTGGCATGAGTAGGTAATACAAAGTATAATTAAGAATAAGTAAGTCTCAAAACAGCCACATAGTGACTAATGGACTGGGGAGAGTAAAACACTGCAGGCTCCATTCTCAGTGGTTCTGAGAAGTTGTTTTTTTCCAATAGAATTTTCAATCTTTGAATAGGACTTTTTATTATGTGCAATTTCCCATAAAAAGGCAAGTTAATTTAAAAAAAAGATGATCGAGATTATACAGTCAAAGGTGGCCAATAGGAAAAACCACTGCTAGCTTTTTAACTTTGTAGTAACAGCTAGCAGTTGATAAAACAACATTAATATCGAACACAGTCCGGAAAGAGCAATAGGCCTGATTAAACACAGTCTGCCCGCTCATGTCCACTGTTTTCTGTGGACACTACGGCCTCCTCCTCCTCAGCAGCGGCAGAAGACCCCTGAGGCTTGGGCCGCAGCTCACAACACACAGGCCCTCCATCCCTGTCATCGTCTGTAAACAACAGCTCTGTCCCGGCGGCCTGCACTATTCCTGGCATCTCAAATCTCTCTAACGTGCAAAACCAAGTGAAATTAAGTCAATCACTGCCAATGTGAGCAAAGTTTCAAAAGCGAAAGTTGAACAATGGGGGTCTAGAGCATCTGTGGTCGGGTCCCAGCACAGTGGAGTGGTTCAGCCGCTGATGACAGTCTAATTAATTGTCTAATAATGATGCATAGAGACACAAACACAACCTTGTACAGCGGCCGCCCTTCATCCTCTGACGAAGGATAATCGCTCCCGCAGCTGTTTCCAAATGATTTCTGTACTATCTCGCTGTCACAAACTCAATAATACCACACTGTAACCTTGTGGAGGAATGAAAGCCTGTGCAGAGATGAACTCAAAACAACGACTGAGGTTTTGAACGTCTTGCAGCATGGACAAAATAGCTGCAAGTGATCGAAGGCTGGATCTGCCATTAAACTCACAATGAATGCATACAATATTTGTCCAAAAGCTATATGATAAAGTTTCTCTAAGAACACACCGCATGAAAGCCCTCCCTAATCCTGACCAAGAGAGAAACCGACATACAGTTATCACAATCGGTCATAATACATCTCTCATTAAGCTCTAGCAGAAGTCCTGGTTTTATTTTTGAATATCCTCCTGACCAAATAAACCACAGGATACTTGGTATTACGAGTTACACAGCTCAGGTTTGAAAAGTGTCTTGGGTTTGAATCTCAGTTGGAACATGGCCTTTCTGAGAGGAGTTTGCATGTTCTCCTACCCCTAAAAAGACCACACGAACAATAGGTCGTATCCTCCAGCTCTGGTAATCCTGAACTGGGCCTCAAAATAATTAACAGCACTGCTCCTGACAGAGGCCCTGCTGGTATTGCAGGATGGGTCAAATGCAGAGGACAAATTTCCCAACAGACAAAAAAGATAACATAACGGAACTTAATTTTGCAGAAACAACAAGGGCTATGACAAAAGTTGTTGTTGCTTTTTTATTTTATTGATCCCCGTGGGAGAAATTCAGGTGTCCAGGAGCAGCAAAAATAAAATTGATCATTCTAAAAAGCAAACAATAGCAATAGTAAGCAACAGCCCTTCAGATCACAGCAGCAGAGGTGGTGTAGCCTCTGGGTGGAGTAGACGGGTCGCAGCAGCATACAGCAATTGGCATAATAAAATAAAACCTCACCATGTAAATTTGTAAATCCAAATTGTGGGCATGTATAACCTCACATCTGGAAAGCCATGGGTTGTACCCCAATGTGCCCTGTCTGTCCTTGTGTCCTGTCTTCTCCAACAGGAAGTCCATCATTTTCCCTCTCCTGCTGATTAGAGGTAATTAGGCGAGCCCTGTTTGTAATTGGATGATAAAAGATGCTAATGAGGCTGTCGTTCTATTTACTCACACAGAGGCGCTGGATGGAACAGACTTTCTCCAGAGCCCACAGTCTAATCTAACTCTTCATCTGCATCGTTATCAAAACCATGACCAAACAATTACCTTCAACAGGTAATTAAAAAAATAGAAATGCAGGGTTCATTTCTAAAGATTGGCATCTATCCCAATTAGGTCGCCTAAGTTTGTTCTGTGGAACATTAAGCAGTAAGAAAAACCAAATACCTACAGAACATTTCGATAATTACATATTTCCAAATGTAGTTAAGGCCCATCCAACCCTGAGCCCATGATGAAGGAGATTCTTTAGCAGTCATACAATATTACTATACTATTACATCATGCATCTCAAATCTCATTTACCTCAAACTAAAATTTGAGCCAGTATTATGATAAAGAGGGATAGGGTTTGTTGTTACCTCCACCCAGGCTGTGATCACCGACATTTGTCTGTTTGTTCTTCTGTGGAAGTTACGGATGAAATTTACAGAAAACGTGTTCCCATTGAACAACTTTGATTATGAAGGGGGTCCTAACCACCGTCTGGAGGCAGGATTTCCCTAAAGAATTGGAACTGCTACACTATGAGTGCTTTTATAGTAGGGAGAGGAATTAGAGGATTGCATTTAATTAATTATTATAATAGAATGTAATGTTTTTGGGGAAATTATGAAAAATGGTGGAATGACAGAAGGGTTGATTTGCCACATTTTCTTAAATACAACACGCATTAAGAAAATAGACAATGTATTTGGTTATGATCTGAGTTACTAGACTTGTCCCTACACTTTTAGAATTAAACATTTTAAAGTTTAATGTTGTTATAAACACAAAAGACAAGACAGCAAAAATGCTAAATCACTTAAAGCTGTGGTACCTACCCTTGTCTTGTTCATTAAAGTGATAGTCTGGAATTCTAAATGAAGTACATATTTTAAGAATTGTATTAAATTGAGCTCCTGGCCTTAAATGTTGATATAAAATAAGTATTTTTATGAATTCTAATATTACAGGTAAGTCCCGCCTTCCCTTCTCTCCACGATACCGTCCAAGTTAACCAATCGAGTCATGCCAAGGGCTGTCAATCATCGGCGCTCATGCTCAGTTTTTTGTTTTCACGGAGCCTCTGAATCAAGCCTCCATTAGGCTCTGGAACTACATGAAAACTTTACAAAGAATTCTGAACATGTGCGCTGAGCCATTTATATACTGAACCTAAATCCATAATCAGATCCTCTGCAGATGTGTCCTATAATGTTCAATCAACGTTAATAGCTACTTTCGGGTTTGCCGCGATCGCTTATTTTGTGCATTAAAGCATTATTTTTGTCATGAAAACGTTCACAAATAATTCTGAAAACCTCAGTGCATGTGTATTAATAATGTATATCTATAATGTGTTCTCAGATTAACATTTAAATGTGTTGATTGATTGTTATGGAAACGTAGGTGTAGACCAATCAGAAAGGAAGGGGGAGGGAGCTTGGATGGTTTTTTTCAAATCAGTACCTCTCTCTCTTTTTTTCTGACAAACCACAGACTTTAATAATCACTTTAATAATAGATTTTGTTTGTCTAAACAGAGTCTTAACTAATTAGGTATGTTTTGAACTAATCAGCCACAACATGCTGTCATTTTATTAGAACATAAACATTTTTGCAAACATGTGAGTCATTATTTTACACTTTGGGCTGAGATATGATTGGCTGAATGAGGGTGGTCCTTTCTTAAACACTTCACTGCCTGAACAAGATAATCTAAAGATCCAGAAATGCACTGGGGACAGGAGTCCAAGGAACTAGGATTGTATTATTGTATTGTGATTTCAAGCAAGTATCCCCTGTTTAAATCTATTTGCAGCGAACACAGTAGCAGCTCTCTTCGGCGACCGTCACCTTCAAAAGTCTTTATGCCACACCGGTTGTCGTCAACATGCATGTTCGTGAGGCGCTTGACAAAAAGTTGCATATATTTACGATAAGGACCTTGGTTTGGAAAGGTCACAGTTTGAATGTGATTGTGCAGGCTCTCGGCCCGTGCTGCCCGGGCCTTGATACTGACAGGGCTGACACCAGAAGAGCTCTCTGACACTGGTGAGTTAGGACTGCCAGCTGTTTGCAATCAAGTCTATTTTGAAGTCAGGGACACACGCACCCCCAGGGCCAAAGCAGCAACGAGCCCACCTTCAACCCCCCGCCTTCCCGCTCCCATAGATCGGCCTTGCATTGGTTCCAGATGTTTCCATAGGCTGCACTAAGGACTCTTTACCTAAGAGGACCCCGAGAAATGATGACAGAAGTACTCATGTTGTGGTAATGGTATTAGCAAAGTGTGAAGAGCAATACATGCACGTGCAAACTTGTGCAGATGTATCATGTTGTCTGTTGTGTATATTTGTCGATTATGTTGTTTGCTTTTCTATAAAATAAAATAAAAAAACGTTTGTTGTGTTGATGTCTTGTAGATTTGGTGCATCTTTAAAGACTTGATTTTGTTAAAGCCGGACTTTTCCATAAATACATTTTGTTTGTCCAAATAGAAAGTCTAGTTTTTGTGAACAAATCAGACCACAACATGATTGTGAAAAGATAGATGATTTTTGGTCTATTGTTTTATAAGATATTAACAAAGCTATCCTACTATTATCTGGTATAGAAGACCCAAATGCTTTTAAGTTATTATCAAATATTTATTAGCACATATTTATCTCTTTTTCTTTAAGTTAGTTAGTCCAGCTTTAATAGGGATAAATGGGGAAAAAGCGTTCAACTTCAGCCTCCTTTTTGGTCCTTAAAATTGTTAATCTTTGGTATGTGAATCTTTTTTATTGATGACCAATGACTGAGGAAATAATACGTTAAAACTAGACTAAAGTGGATAATGTCAGTTTTTGAAAGATGATCTGAACGGTCACTAAGAATGTGGGTCAGGATTAACGATTGGCTCCTGGAAGTGAAAATGTGAGACAGAATACTAAAGAGCATAATCTTCCAAACTGACGGACGCTTCGAGTTAAGGACTATAGTAAAGCTTAGTAAAGACAGAGACTTATGGTCAAATCTTAAGAACCAGCGTCGACAAATCACAATGATCAAAACCTTAAAACATGCAACAACATGAACCTCCACAAGTACCTCAAGAGTTATTCCTGTGACTCAACGATGATGTGCCAACAGTGGCTGCAGATACTTGCAAATGTCAGAACAGATAAAATCTTATGTAGGTCATTTTGAAGGACGAAAACAAAAGGATGAGCACAAAGTATATTCCAAATACAGAAAACAAAAAATTAAGTTTTGACTTTCCAGGTAAAAAGCAAATGATAGCTTAGAAAATCAAAAAAATCCAAGGCACTCGTGGTCAGTGGTTTAGATTTTTTTTTTAAAGCCTTTATTTACTCATGGCTGTGGATTAAAATACGCACCCTTTTGCTTTATGAGATATTCCAAATACATTTTTATCTTTTACACAACAAGAGCTCAGGCTGGTACTCTCTTTTACGCTGATCTAAAGATGTAACAGAGGCCAAACATACATGTGTTCTCTTCTTTATCTACATCTGCACACATGGCATAGAGACCACAGATGGAAATGATCTCAAATCAGCTAATTCAAGGCGCATTTACATTTTTTTATGTCCTTTTGCCAAATAAAGATAGATAAATCAAATGCATATGATATAAACTGTTTTGAGAAGTTTTAAATACATTTGTGTGATTTGAAAGTTGGATAATAAATCTTTCATCTCAGTTAAAGAATCCAATCCATGTGTAATATGTATTTACTTAGAATAATCCTTAGAAAAGTATAAAGATAACTGTTATATGACTGCAACACATTGGTTTCAAACATGAATAAAATAATGTTGTAATAACTGAGAGGGCAAAGCTGAAACACATGTGTGTTCTGCATATTCATGCTTAAACCCCATGTCGCTCAAACAGAGCTGGAAATGAGAAGTGACAAGTGGAATGTCCCAATGAACTATTGGACTGAGCTGCCCCCGACTTCACATCACACTGATAGTTGATCAGAAAAGTGATTGAAAACAAATGTAGAGCGGTGAAGAGCGTCCAAAGAATGTACAGATGCTTGAGTAAAGTTACTTTCATCACGTTACTGAAGTCAATGTTCAAAGCTGTGCTTTGAGGAATCATCTGGTGTTTTCACAGCATAGACACACAAATGACAAAAAAAATGTCTTTAGCGTTTGTCACTTGCAAAGTTTGAGTTGGAAGAAAAACTTTGGACTTTTGCTCAAATAAGAGCACTGTTCCTTCAATGAATGTGTTTGATGTCTCAAATATAATTACAATGAAAGCACAAATTCTTTCTGCAAAAAGTAAACTCTTCTGAGTAGATGGATCACAATAGCAGTGATTGGGAGTTAAGTAATACATGTACAGTCAATACAAAATCTAACAACCTTTTTATAAAATCTGCGTTGTCATTTTAAATTAACTAACATGTAACTTTTAGATTTATGGTGCTGTATTATTTATATATCAGTATTCTTTATATTATCATTATATATATATATTCTATGACTAAATAAATTTTCAAAGAATTGTCCCCAAGGCTACACAATGGCCACACAGGTCTGCAGATGAGAGAGTCCTGATGTTTTACTTCATATGTGGCACGTGTTGGTGTCTGTATTGTCTCTCACTGGTGTCAAACACTGAGGCTGAAGGTTGAGAGCGCCCTCATCAGGCCACCAGCAGGCACTGAACTCTTACGTGAGATGAATACACTTTTAATACATTTTGCTTTTCTCATTGTAGTACTAAGACTTCATGAACTTTTAAAATGAATGAATGAATGCATATATATTAAATGGGCCTAATGCCAATGTCACTTTTTGGGATAATAAAACTTGAAGCATGCGTTTTCATTTTGGGTATGTACATGGCACTGAATAAAGAAAATCATTAATAATTAATCTGTCAATGAGCGAGAACGCATCTAAACAAGATCTGGGAAAAGTGCAGCCCCTGGACTCTTCCCACCCTCATACCAGACGATTACTTATAAATAAATACTAATAAATCAAAAGTCCGGGTTACGGCTCAAAAAGGTCCGTGGGCACATGCGCTGACATGCTTGAAATCTGGGTCCTTGCTGGTGGTGGTGTACCCGGAAACAGAATTATCCATTGAATTCTTTTGGCGTCTTTTTTCCTCTCGAAAACAGCTGTTTATCTGCTGTGAACTTTTAAATGTACACGTTTTTCAGCCGAATTTGAGGCCTGATCCATCTAACGTATGCACAGATGATACAGGCTCCGCTCCAAAAGCAACTCGTGCCATCTAATGAATGCGCAAAAGCATTTTTTACCATTTTCCTGCGAGAGGGGATACTTGCAGCCATTTTCAAAAGGTACATGTTGATCGCACATACATTTGAATGAAGGAAATAGGCGTCACTACGTTCGTTAATATTTAGCCCAGGGCATAGTGTCGACCATCAAACCATTAAGAATTCCCTACAACAGAGCCATAAAAATAGACAAAACGCCAATAAGAACACAATATTATCAGGTTGTCAGAGACTAAATATTCTTAATTTTTATCATTTTATTAAATTCTGTAATTGAAAATGATTGTATACAGTGCCTTGCGAAAGTATTTGGCCCCCTTGAACCTTTCAACATTTCGCCACGTTTCAGGCTTCAAACATAAAGATATAACATTTTAATTTTTTGTCATGAATCAACAACAAGTGGGACACAATCGTGAAGTGGAACGAAATTTATTGGATATTGGATAAATGTATTGAACTTTTTTAACAAATAAAAAACTGAAAAGTGGGGCGTGCAATATTATTCGGCCCCTTTACTTTCAGTGCAGCAAACTCACTCCAGAAGTTCAGTGAGGATCTTTGAATGATCCAATGTTGTCCTAAATGACTGATGATGATAAATAGAATGCACTTGTGTGTAATCAAGTCTCCGTATAAATGCACCTGCTCTTTGATAGTCTCAGGGTTCTGTTTAAAGCGCAGAGAGAACCATGAAGACAAAGGAACACACCAGGCAGGTCCGAGATACTGTTGTGGAGAAGTTTAAAGCCGGATTTGGATACAAAAAGATTTCCCAAGCTTTAAACATCTCAAGGAGCGCTGTGCAAGCAATTATATTGAAATGGAAGGAGTATCAGACCACTGCAAATCTACCAAGACCCGGCCGTCCCTCCAAACTTTCATCTCAAACAAGGAGAAGACTGATCAGAGATGCAGCCAAGAGGCCCATGATCACTCTGGATCAACTGCAGAAGATGGCAAGTAAGATGGCGCCTCGTACGGTCGACACGGCTCTTTGCTGCTCTCTTTTTCTTTTGTTTTTACTTTTTAACTGTGCATCTGGCTGTTCCTACACCCGTGAGGAACTTATGAACATCCGACCCACCGTTCCCATGGACCTATTGCCTGTTTTCTTGGCATCTGCGGCTGATTTAGTCCATGTTCTAGCCAAAAAAGTGTGGGCCCGTAAAAGGGGGAAGCGCAGGGGCCTGCTCGTGCGTCTTAGGAGGAGAGGAGCGCGCACGGCTCTCCCCGGCATTTTTCTCTCCAACGTACGCTCACTGGGCAATAAGACGAACTCAGCCTGCTCATGAGAAGAAACAAGGACTTCGCCACATCCTGTGTCCTCTGCTTCACTGAGACCTGGCTAAATGAGCGGATCCCGGACTGCGCTCTGGAGCTGCAGGGCTTTGGGCTGTTCCGCGCGGATCGCCATTGTGCGCTCTCAGGGAAGAGCAGAGGCGGTGGGCTGTGTTTCTACGTCAGTACAAACTGGTGTAACGATGTGACAGTGATCTCCAAGCACTGTTCTCCTGCTCTGGAATATCTTTTCATTCATTGTAAACCATTTTACTCCCCTCGTGAATTTGTTTCATTCATTCTTGCCTCTGTTTACATACCGCCATGCGCGGACACGCGCGAGGCTCAGTGCGCATTTGCAGAGCAAGTACTGTGTATGGAACGTTTATACCCGGACTCTCTGATTATTATCCTGGGGGATTTTAATAAGGGAAACTTGAGCAAGGAATTACCCAAATACAGACAGTTTATCAAATGCCTGACCAGGGAGGAGAACACTCTGGATCACTGTTACACCACCGTGCGCGGAGCTTTTCGCGCTGTTCCCAAGCCAGCCCTCGGCTTCTCAGATCACTCCATGATACATCTGGTTCCTGCTTACAGACAGAGACTAAAGCTCTCGAAAC